TATAAATTATACCAAGTTGCTATCATAAAGCAGGGGGGGAGGGAGTTTAAATGAGCAATACCCATAAATGAATACATGATAACAACTTGGTATAATTTATATACAATAGTTTAAACCTTTATTCCTCTGAGCAGATGAGCAATGCTCATTGATGCTCATAATTACTTATGAGCACTTGCTCAAATGCTCATAACTGCTTCAACACACTTGCTCATTTGCCCACAAATGCACATTGCTACATAAAATGTCTCATTTCTAAAAAAGCAGTGCCGGCGAAATGAGCTGCAGATATTGTGGAAAAGTATTTAATCGAGCTTTCAACTTACGCAGACACGAAAAAGAATACTGTCCACTAAGGGATGAGGAAAAAATGTCTCAATCAGATTCAGACAGTCAGGGAATGCATTTCGAAGATAATGTTTCTACAAGTTCAACAGATGAATCTGAAAGTTCAATGTCAATAGAAAATGAGGCTGAAACTGGAGAAGGAACTGATCCTTGGATACCTTTGATAGAAGAAGCAAGAGAAAGAAGTAATGTAGATTTCGATGAGATGAAGGAAAGCCTTGTGAACAGTGGTCTGGATGAGCAGACAGCTGAAAATCAAGCATATTCTAACATTCTACCAAAACTTCAAAAAGAATTGGAAAGTATTTATATGCAACGTCTTATGTGGATAAACCAACTGAAAAAAGATCCCATCCACAGAAAAATAATGCATACAAAGAAAGGGTTTATAGAAAATGATGACTTTGATCCACAGGAAGCTATGGAAGCAGCTATTGATAAGAGAAAGTTTCTCATCAACAGACTTTTAAAAGAGTACAGCTTTGGTGAGATTGCCAATGATGAAGAAGATTAACTTTGTTAGATGAATTCGTTTCATAATAACTTGTATCTTATTTTGAAGTGACGTTGTTCAATAAAATCTTTTCATTTTCAGTTTAGTGTGAAAATTACTTTAATATTGCATAGCTGCAAAAATCCTCTGCTATTGTTTCTATCTCTATCTGTTTAATGGAAACATGCCAAAAAGCCTCTTAGAGCTATACATACTGCGCGAAGCTCGATGTTTTGAAATATTTTGCGCCTTCATAAGATGAAAAGGAAATTCCCTAAAGTGATGATGCATGAAATAGCTCGAATAATATTACGCTTACGGCACACTTCTACCTATATACGCGACTTTCGGCAGTAAACCGGTTATTGTAAGCCTGAAACAACTAAAGTTGTTGTGCCACATCGCATCTTGAATGCATAAGTTAATAAATTTAAACCACTATAGGCAGATAGGTTTGTGGTATCAATTACTGCAATATCAATATCAAACGCGCGTTGCACTTTTATCAGTTGATTGCCCTAACTTCTTGGTTTAAATTCTCCTAATACGATCTCTAGCAACCAGTAAAACAAACTTATACTAAAATAAAAATAATGTTTGTAAATCAAAGAAGGACAGAATTAAAAGCTAGGATACTGCACAGATCTTACCCACGCCACATTATTCAAGGTCATACTATTCAATGGTAATTTATAATTTACATTTGCGAGATGGCAACGAAGGTCACATCTCAAGCGCATGTGTAGTGTATCTCAACCACTTACGAAACAGATAGCCTTTGTGAAGATGCAATATCCAAACATGCAATCGAAGAAGGATGGCCTCGCCATAAGCGTCGTTTTATACCTTCAGTAAGTACCGTTTGTCTTTTTTCTGTTCCTTAGAGTGTTTGTATTAACTTTAACAGAGGCGTCGATTTTATTTTTTAGAAAAATGTGATCACTGTGATGATTATCTTTTAAAACCCTCGTGTGGGCATGTATCGTCTCATAAAAGACCTTATCGAGTAAGTTTTAATTCGTTTGTAGTTGTCGTAAAATGTTTTTTTCTATGTAATATTACATCGCTTACGTATATGTATACAGAAGTGCTAACATGTAAGCAGTAAATTCATACATGTTTCTTATATTTCTTTTAGAACAATGTGTAATGGTTTGACCTTACGAATCGAACGGGAATAAATAAAAATATATATTTACAAAAGCTTAACGACTCGTGTTTCAAGTTTGTTGTTTGACCTTACGAATCGAACAGGAATAAATAAAAATATATATTTACAAAAGCTTAACGACTCGCGTTTCAAGTTTGTTCTTTTTATCCGAAACAAATATTTTACGCCAGTCGTTACAAGTGTATTTTAGTATCTCAAGTCCATTAACGGGTGGCTTGACATCTTCAATGCTTTTCATAAAATCTTTGATCACAATCTCTTCGGACACATTTTCCAAGGCATCATCAAAATGCAACAACATACGCTCGTCATGCTCCATCATGAGACAGTCGTGCTCGCGTTGAGAGGTGTGATCAATCATGCATCCATTGCAGTTCTTATTTACTTCAGCGTTTATCATTGCAGCAATTTCTTCAGCATAGCAGTCTAAAAGTTTATTTTCTAACAAACTTTGACGTACAGTTATTTCATTCTTTTCTGACTCCAAAGGCAATTTGTTCATTCTTAATGCCTGATCAATGTCTACATTCAATTCCATTTGTTTCAAGAGATAAAATGTAAACCTTTCGATAAAGTATAAGTTATAAAATGCAATTACCTCGTTTTCTACCGTTTTTACCTTCGATTGTGAAAAGGAAACGGATCTAATGTTACTTTGTCAATAGCATGCAACTTCCAGCTTTGTCGTATTTCCGATTTTCACGCCATCCAATGCCATGCCATGTTTATTAACCCCTATTTCCGGTTGACATGCGCGCGCACCGATCAACTTCAGGGGACTGGAAACTAACTGGCACGGGTAAGAGCTCCGTGACAAAAGTGTGACAAAGCTGCATCTTATCTACTGTTTCACTCCTCGAGTGGGACCTACTAATCCGATGATAGCAATGCAAGCACCCGATTACTTTGGCCCTATGACGTCATTAATTTAGTATTTTAAAATATAGTGAAATATTTAATGTACACTCAAGGGAGGTAACAATTAATAACAATATTGCTTTTAAATTAAAAAAAATTACTATGAAAATAAAAAAGCAAACAGCAAAACGTAAAAAAATAAATAAAAAAAACTTACGAACGATACAATTTGAAAGATTTATTTTTTACTGGCGAAAAAAGGTAAGTGAAAGCCAACCCGTACAAAACAATAAGGACGACTTCGTTTCAGGTCAAATAATGCCATATAATAAACCTTTTACTAATCTCGCTTTCTCGGTCTTTACTGAGAAATATCGGACCTCTATTTTTATGTACAAATTTCACTGTACGCGCTCGGTTTGTACAAAAATATTTCTGTCCGATATTTCTCAGTTAAGATCCGAAGTTCACTACGAACTCATAAAATAATAATAACAATAACATATGCTGCTAAAATTTCTATTTTCAAGACTAAAAAATCTTTCAATTTTTAAACTTGACGATATGTTACAAAACTTTTCGAGCATGTAGCTATAGATGCCATTAGCCAATCAGAATGGGAAACCAGCATTATTTTTCTGCTTTGTAACTACAAACCACTACTATTAAAATATTATTTATTGACATCTTTCGCAAAAATCTTACTTAAAGATATAAATTATCCCGTAAAATTCAGCAGAAAATCTTAAATGTTGGTTTTAAAAGTTTTGAAATCTGAACAATGCAATGTTTGATTTTTGATTAAATTAATTATATATTTATTTGAAAAGTTTTTGGTTGTGCTGAGCCAGACCAGCGTGACCTATAGATATGCTACTGCTCCTGTTTGTGGTCAAAATCCTAAATCGTAGTTTCAATGAGAGAGCAAAGCCAAGTTTTCAGTACATCAACTTTTTTTAAATCTTTTGCGAATATTTGTATGATTGCGATTTTAAAATGAAACTCTTTCAGTGAAAATTTGTCGGTATGATTAAAGATCGTGTTCTTTTTTTAAGATCGTTAATCTGAGTTTTCTAACTAAAAAGGGACATTGTATACAGTGCTACACGATATTTCTAGAGTGAATTACTAACTTTAGAGAGACACCTACTTATCTATCTTTAAAAGGATTTCTAATATTTTTATAACAATTATGATAGATTTAAACGATATCTGTTCAGTTATAGATATACGGTATAACGTCATTTATGATAAGAACAAAAATGCCACCAGCTGCAGAATCGAGTTGTCATTTTTTGTTCTTATGACAAGTACGTCATGCCGTGTATCTACAACTAACCCGACAACGGTCAAATGTAATCTATTTGTTTTGCATTGCAAACTCGAAAAAATTCCCAAAGAAAAGAGGCAAAATCTTTGTTCTTTGTTGTCCTCAACACTAGGAAAATCAAAGCATTCAAGATTTTTAAATACCACTCGTACATGATCTATAAGAATGAAGAAATTCTTATAGATAGCTTAAATTCACAGATTAATTCATGTAACAATTCAAATAATTCCGCTCTTGGTTTGTCATTTAAAAACAAGAAGTTTTCTGTGACGTGATTCCTTGCTTCTCTTATAAATCATAGCTCTCGACCAATGAAATTGCGTGAATTCTTAAAGTTATAATTATATAAAATTATACAAATAACTAGCAATCACGTTTTTCATTGTATTTTCACCAAAAACATATTTGATTTCTTTTATAAAATAACAATAATGCGAAACAGACAAACATTTTAATTTTTCTTCTAAAATGTATTCATGATCGATTTGTAAATTCTCTTTGACTGATTGATTGTTATTATTGATTTGATAGGTTGAGCTTAGATGTGTTTTGCACGGGCTGATGTAAACACAGCTCTAGACCAATCAGCGCACGCATTTCATTGTGTTTATTTCATAATTCTTTTTAGTGAAGTTGTTTAAGGTTGGGTTTTGATAATAAAGTAAAAAGGTTGTAAAGCTCTTGAGAGTTTTACAAAGAGGGTGGTTCTTCTGAGGAGGTTGCTCTACGATACATTTATTTGTATCTATGTTTAGACTATTTTGAAACTTACGTCGGTTATAAAAAAGTTTTATTTTTAGTTCAATTTTGTTGGACGTATCATTGGCCCCCGAGGATTGACCCTACGAAAGATCGAAGCTGAAACCGGATGTAAACTGTTGGTTCGTGGAAAAGGCTCAATGAAAGATAAGAAAATGGTAGGACTGTCAGCTTTTTTACGATGATCATGCAACGTTATAATTCGACATCCTTGTCAATTATAAGTTTTCTCTTGCCATTCATTTCATTTCCCTTTTTCGGCTGTCCTCTAAAATTCGGAGTTTTCTCTACTGTCACTAGATTACTTAAATCACACACGACTGACACGAAATGCTTAAACCAATAACAATTTTTCTTGAATCGTTTCACGCGTGAGTGAATGTTTTCGGAAACAGGGAAATGTTTCTTCGAAGTTTCCTAATTTACTCAAACTCTCAGTTTGATATTTTTGCTTTATTTTTATAACAAAGGAAATACGCTTATAAGCAACCTACGAACATCGTTATAATTTTCATCCCAAAATAAAACAAAACTCACGTGATTAGTCTTTTCACAAAAAAAACATAAAATAACATAAAGTTTCCAACACACTCCCTCACATGACTTTTATGTTACAAGTCATATGCCATAGTACTTAATGTTATGGTTAATGCACATCGTTCTCATCCTGTAAAATTTCTCGAATAACGTTTTTGATTGAAAAATATGCTTTAGCGTTTTATCGAATACACAATCAAGAATATATAAAAATCTACGGTAAAGAAACTTCTGTTATATTCAAATAACAATTTAAATTCAAAATAACTCCAAACGCGGCATTTTTTGTGGGACCGGGAATGTCTTCAAGTTTACGTAAAAATAAACACTCGCACACTATGTATTTGTTCGTGAACAACCTGGTACAATTATCTTAATCGAATCTTAGGGAAAATGTGCGAAAAAATCTTGACCTGTCAACTGCTAGTTAAATCTTGGAGAGCTGCGACGAAACTATTCAGCATAACCCTTAAGTAACTGCTGAGAAAAACATTTTTTTTATGAAATTACAACTTATGAATTTAAAGTGCATTAGTTTTTCTAACATAATACTGTCATTTTGCTGAATGGGAATAAAAAAATCAAATAGTAGAGTGCTAATGGAAATATTTAGCAAAATGTGCAAGGATTGTGTAATTCCTGTAGTATTTTGGCATTATGTTATTTGTTAAGAATCAAGTTTGAACAAAATAGCTAAAACTTGTGCAAAGAGACAAAAAATCTTTACAGAACCACCTGTTTCCCCAGCTTCAACTTGACTATTTTCAACTGACTGTTTTTGATTTCACTTTCCAACTATTTGTTTTTGATTTTAATTTTTAATTTATTTTATCATTCATTTTATTTCCACTTCATCTTATCAGACACACAGAATTTCTTTTCAGAGGTGAATTACAAAATTTTAACAAAGGGCTACCTGATATATATAAACAATAATGGGTTCTCTTTCATACATGTTACCACTGCCAAAAATTTACATAAAATTTCAACAAGCTCCCTCCCCCTTCAATGTCCTTCTTGTTCTTCTACATCCTTATGTGCTTCTTCCTACTTCTTCAGTTCAAATAAGACTTGAATCCTGGATCACCTTCAATCCTAAAAATTATGGATTTTTTTAAATGAGAATAGTAAATCAAACTTTACATGCTCATAGTCATAAGCTTATGCAAGAATGTTATATGCAGTGCGGTGTTTGAAATTAAATGTAGATATGATCTTCGCACTTTGCTGGACAATTTAAGCAATTGTCTCAAGAACCTGAAAAATTCAGGTCACTCAACGGCATTCGAACCCATCATATCTACATTTAAAGTTTATCTTGTACAATACTTTCACTGTAAAAGCAAAGCTTATCTCATTGTACTAAGCAGTTCTTTTATCTTGGCTTTGACATATTAATCTGTTAACTATTACACTGCATACTTCATTTACAGAAACACAAAGAGGAATTTAAAAAAAATAGTAGCACCAAGATAACCTTTTTCCCCCACTATCTTAATTGTTTGCTACCTGCCAATGTGCAACACAAGCAAAGAGATTGAGCTATTTTTGTGGTACTGTACATTGTTGGCACTGCACTCTATTCTTAGCTTTTTTTGTTTTGCTGAAAAATATTGAGAAATGTTACACTACTTTTCAATGAACTCATTTCATTTTAAGACTTAGGTGAATTTTGGCTGTTTTACTTGATGGAAGGTATCCACATTTTGAAGAGATTTTATACTTAGTTTATTTTTTGTTTTTAAGCAAAGAATAAAACAGACTAGACAAACATTGCATAAAACTCAGTAGTAAGAAAACAATTGCGAAATACATGCCAAACACCCTAAAAGCATTCTAAGGCCAAGAAACTAAGACGAAATACTAATAATAAAGAAGAATGTAGAAAATAGACTATATCTTATTGCATACCAGTGTCATGTAACTTTTTTTTTTAACAACTTTGTCATTTGTGTAACACATGAGTTTGCAGCATGTTTTACCGTTGATTTTTTTTAAAAAAAGACATTTTTTGGTATATAGCCTTAAAATATAAAATTTTCTATTATATTATGTATTCATTGTACAAGTGTTAGGTGAAAATCCGGCTGGGCTTAGAATTTTTTATTTTTCATTCTGATGACGTTTTCCCCCAACATTTTCCATATTTAGTATGACGGCATCCATGTTTTTGATACCCAACCACGCGTTAATAAAATATAATAATTTGGATGTGGATTTCCAGTCCAGGTAATTAGTCTACAGGTCAGTTGGTACAACGGTCAGGGTCACTGGTCAGGTAGCGTTCCAGTTATATTCATTTCAATGGGCCTGAAAGTGATATACGTAAATTGGGTTTGCAGAGTAAAATTTCTTGGAAAAATTTCTCAATTGCTTCTGAACTTTAGCATTAGTTTAAAGAGGCTGCTTGTATCATAAGATATGAATGTCGAAAGAGTTGCTTTTTAAATTGCGTGAAAATTTTCGAATCGTTTATTTTGTTCAGGAAGAGGAGAAACGTGGTCAGCCAAATTATGAGCATCTAGAAGAGGACCTGCATGTTCTTATTGCTGTTGAAGATAGCGAAGATAGAGCAACTATGAGACTTGACCGAGCTGTAAATGAAATTAAAATGTTGATGAAGCCTGTGGTATAACTTCCCAAACATTTTCTGCATCCCCGTGCATTATACATAATTTCATATGCTGTATATTAAAGTAAATGATTTGAACCCGGGTGTATCGTTACATGTTTGTAAATGTAGATCGTCCAGGTTGGTATAGTCCTGAGAAGGACAGTTTTTGTTGTTGTTGACTGACGTTTCGACAACCTTATCGGTAGTCATCTTCAGAGTCAAAAGAGAAGTAAACGTCAGGTTAGCCGTATTTGTTATCTAGTGTATCTATTTGTATCACCAGATAACAAATACGGCTAACCTGACGTTTACTCCTCATTTGACTCTGAAGATGACTACCGCTAAGGTTGCCGAAACGTCAGTCAACCACAACAAAAACAGTCCTTCTCAGGACTATACCAACCTGGACGATCTACATTTACAAACATGTAATATGCTGTATATTGTTAGGACTAACAGTGGCGTGTGGTATTATTAGTGTGTATATTACATGTTGAGGTTTCATAGGGTGAAGGTTACACTAAAATCGTAAAATTGGCAGTGCTATGAAATTGTTCACAAAATAGAAACGTTTCCCACGTTTGTTTTCTTCATTTCTTGACATACCTAAGCATGTAAGGAGTGTTGACCTGTGGCAAATAAATACCCCCATGTTGACGAAGTTAATGTTTCAACGTACGTTTTACAGGAAGATGGTGACGATGAAATAAAAAGAGAACAACTAGGTACACTGGCTCTAATCAATGGCACGTATAGACCACCAGGTACGCAGTTATAGTTAATTCAAAATATTTGTTCAGTTATTTGAACTTTAATACAAGTCATATTTCAAGTTATTACAAGTTAGCAACCATGGTTTAAAATCCTGTTTAGAAAAGCAGGGTTTCATTGGCCCTTGACATTAATCTACACCCACTCCGCACTTTAAAGTGTCAGAACCATTGAACTAAAATACATGGAACGCTACCTGTAATACAATACCCTAATAATTTTTTGAAGCCAAATTTTACACCCAGACACGCCTGTGTAATCTATCAGTTTTCACTGCGCGAGAGAATCTCGAAAAACTACACACGCGCGTTTAGGTGTAATCTCGCGTGTCTGCATGGGTGTAAGATTTGGCTTCAAATATTTGCTTCTGGTAGCGTACAATTCATTTTTGTTCAATTGTCGGAACCTTTGAAGTTTTTGTGCTCGCGCATGTCACTGTGTCATCATAGCCGCCATGTTCAAAGAAAGCCTTCTTCGCTAAATTATTGTACGCTATTATGGTGAATGTGAGCAGGGACGGATTTAGGATTATTCAAACATCAGTCATGGAACGCCAAAAGCCCTCCGCCCCTGGGGTTGTCCGAGGCATTCTCCCCTGGGAAATTTTGAATTTCAGAGCCTTGGAAATGCCATTTTCAGCGTTTTAGAGCAATACAAAACGTATTTTGTGGGCATCGTTTTTGCGTAAAAACAACACATTTTGCTTAGGTTTTTTTCAAACTTACATTTTTGAACAATACTTGAATGTTTTGCCAATTATTTAGGCTCACTATCATGCCAAATATATGGCTCATTAGCATGTCTAGGAACATAAAATTTATTTTACAATAATGCTATTCCAAAAAAGATATTGTCTTTAAAAATTTCTACCAAGTTGTCAGGTATAGACCCCCCTAGAGACTCCCATTCAAACCTCTATGTAATGAGTTAAGTTAGAAATTTGGCACGACAAGAGACAGTTTATTAGATGTAGAAAAGTTCAGACTTCAAACCATGCAAGTTTATTGTAACCCTTTCTCCATCTCCACATACAGTGCCAGCCGATTCACCTTTTGAGAAAAAACTCAAAATTTTTTTCTGCCAAAGATTAAGCAAAAATTATCAGAGTGAAAATTTACAATTAAGGACAGCTTAATGCCATTAATGTTTATTAGGCATTTCACTAGACTATTATCTTCTGTACATATATGCAAGGTGTGCTATATAGCAATCACCAGTAGCATTGTATTTGCCTATACAAACAGAATGTAACCAACATGTCTTTAATTATATAATTACATGAATGTTAAAATTGGTTCATGAGTCATGCTTACTGGTTTTTATGATAAATATCTTTTCATATGATCAAAGCTCGTTTAGATGTAAATCTGAAATAATTTAGTTTAGAAATTATAATGATCATCAGAAAAATTACCTAGTGATCATGAAAAACACTTTTCTGTTTTGCCAAATTTCAAGGTTTATCTGCATACATAGGAATACATTTTTACTTTATAGAAAATGCTTTTCATACATCAATAGCCATTTGGAATTTATGGCAAACAATCTGCTATGAGCCGTAGATTAACACACCTTGACATCTCTACATGAGGTGTTTAGTTAGAAAAGGGGACAATATGTGACATGGGACAGCATTTCATGTTTGTGAAATACTCAGGTTTAATACCATTCCAGTCAAATTGTCAAAATAAAAAACTTCATGGATCAGAAAAGACTCAAAATCACAGGTTATAGTAAACAGCTTCTCATGTAAGCAATGTTAGTTTTCTCAAATCTTAAACAATATGTAGTATAACTGTCCAATGATTGAATGATCAATGATCATAAACTGAAAAGCCCCAAACATTTGTTTATGATAAAGTAAATGGTATGGCGCCTTATGGCTACAGATTTTTTGTCCATTGAAATATATTTGCAGGAATGTAGGATTTCGCTGCCATATAACGGCCACGATACCCCAAGCACTAAAGAAATCATAGCTAAAATTCCTTCGTCAACAACAATTTTAGAAGCATCAATCTGCTTACCATACGCCATATTGACATAAATCGCATCACACACTCGCATAAATTGACTTTGATATATTACATTCATGCATACACTTCACTTGTCCTTTACTACGATTTTAGATGTAAATTTCTGCTGCGAAAACTCTAAACAATGATGGCATGCTTTTGAACATCAATGACTGAAATGTCGCTCGCGACATTTTTCACCCTCTTGTCAAATTCACAGTTTGGACAGCAGCAATCATTTCACTATAAGAATTTGTAAAAGATTTCCATAAATTCCATCTGATTGTAGTTTAGTTTCTATCATGCTTTAGAAAATTACTATGATGAAATGATCAAACATTCAATTCAGACAGTGATCTTGACTATGTCAGTTCAGTTGGCTATCAGTCGAAATCGGTCAAACCTATCACAGTAAGACAAAAATCAAACAAACCAATTACACAATAGCATTTGGACTCCCTTATAGGTCCGGCCACCCCGCTTATTGATCGAGATTATTCCAGATCGTCTACTGATCTGGCTATTGACCAACGGAATGGCTTAAATAAGCGTTCTTGATCTCCGTTATCGGTCGACCAGTCGAGCCATCCCGCTTATCAGTCAGCCAGTTAATATGATGACTTGATGTTTTTATCTACTGATCTGTTTACTAAGGTGGTATTTGTATAAGTTTTCTTGCATAAAACGGAATTTTGACGATGAAATCCAAACGATTACAGAACGAAAATTGAATGATAAAAAAATTGTAATCATTAAATTTCATAAATAATTTTTCAACTATAAACATCAGTCGCGTGACTGATTTGACATACCCTAAATCCGCCCCTGATAATGTGAGAATAGAAACCTTATACATCTTTAGTCATATACAAAAAGTTGAATTTTTTTCATTTTTAAAGATAGTTATGAGAAACTATCAGTATTTGAAAGACTTTAATTAAGGAAATTAACTAATGGGAAAAAAATTAGAAAATCACCAATTACACTAATTATCCAACATGGCGACCACTAAGTAGCCAATAACTTAACTTCGCTGCGAACATGATATCTCGGGAACCAATGATCCAAATTCAGTGAGTAATACTTTTTTTAAAAGCTTAGAACATAATCTAGTGCTTGACGCTTTTCAATTTTTATTAATTCTTCATAAACAAAAATATACTCCAAAATTTGATTTTCTTCAGCAATTTTGTATTTTTGGTACACGTTTTATGACATAACGAGTAAATATTTCATCAATGCAAAATATCAAAATTTGAAAAATGACAAGCATTAGATAATATTACTAGTCTTCAACATTCAAAATTTCAGGCATCTCTGACAAATAACAAAGATAATATGATGTCACAAAGTTCTTACTAAGTGCTAAAATCACCAAAATGAGAAAACAACGTTTAAAGATTATGTAACCTGTATGATACCTCTGGATGGCCTAAAAATTGCCAGCTTTATAAGTAACTCCTTCCTTATGTTTAGCATTGTCAATATAACTCTTTCTAATGTGTTTCTTTGCTTTTTCACCTTCTCCCAGCTCTTCTTTGCCGACAACTTTATCCGGAGATGATCACATTCTTGAGCCCCTTTACTTGGAAACATTCCAGGAGTTATGCCCAGTTCACTTAATATCTTTAACAGATTTATATCCCCATCATTAAATTTAAGAAAAGCCAAATATGTAGTATGAGCAACAGTCTCTTGTTTTAAATATGTGGTCTTCGGACATCGTTTCCATATCATTTTATTTAGAAATTCATTAACATTTTGAGTTAAGCCATGAGTACATTTATTCAACAAAGTAGCATTACTCAGTTCATCAAATATAGGCTCAGTGAGCTTAATTGACATTCAAGAATGCCAATCTTGTGCTTGTAGTTGTCCTTTTCCCTCTTATAGCCACACCAACTGTCTTTACCATCAGAACTGAGATAATGCAGAGGATTAGTACTACTTGATGCATCATGATAGAGAGATGCTTTATTTATTTTGCCCTTCCCCTAACATCTTGAAAATTTCCTCTGACAGACAAACCATAATAATTTTGTAGAATATCAATCTTCCCATCTGTAAGCCTTCCTTTTCTTCTCAATCCTTTGCCGACTGCAAGCTTTGCCCCCTTTTTTGTATTCTTCAACTTACGAAGACGACTACCAACCCTCTTTTGAATGTAATCAATACACTCCAACTTTTTTCGAATGCATTCTTCCCCATATGGCTTTCTTTCAACAATAGTGTTATATGTTGAAGAATCCCCATCCCCAAGCATATCCTTGTGTGCCCTTTAGCCCTCTAGAAACCAAAGATCTCTCAAAATTCACACAGCCCTGGATGTCTGCATACTACTGGCACTTCCTTTATGATTGATCTTGCACTGATGACCAGCTTTTTGTTCACCATATTTAGGATCACTTGGCCTGTTCTTCCATTTGGCACATTGTTGGCACCTGTTTGTGAGCACTTCAACATCTAAACCCTTTTTGGTTTGCAAAGATATTACCGTAACAATACCATTGTTCGATGCATGGCCTCTCTTTTACCAGGTACCATCCAAAGATATTCCACATTCTGGGGCTCCATTCTCCTCTCTAACGGGCTCTCTGGGGCTCAATTCTCTCCTGTTCGGCAAGTTGGTGGGGGAGCCATATTTATGACCTTGCTGAATTTGACCATTGCAGCTTGGCATAAAGCTATGGAATCCATGTTTTTAACCAGAATTTTCGATAATATTGTCCGAATATAAACTGATAACACGCACAGCACTCGTAAGTTGATATTTGGATTAAGTAATTTTAAATTCCGCCTTGTTACTATGAAATTTGTTACTAATAAACATTGCGCAACCGTGGCCAACTGTGGCCTGCCACAATCAGGTGATCAAAATTGTAAGCTTTAATTGGTTGGTGGTCACCCTTTAGAATTACGTCACTGTGGCCAAAAATGTCGAAATTGCGCAAGAAAACGCTCACTGACCGTGTCCAAGGGTAGCATTTCGGTCGCCTTTTTAATCGCAACTACAAAACTGGACTCCGAACTGCAGTCGAGTTTTCGTTTTGCAAGATAGTCGGATTACATTAGACAAATCTAAACGGCGGAATAATACGATGATTTATAAAGTCAGTCGCTTAAATGCAAATTTTGAGTACGTCGACATCAACAAGTGCAGTTCATGTGCTTTTCTTACTGTTTTTTGGTTAAAAAATAGACTCAATAAACTGCATAAACTAAGAAAATATATGTTTTATGTCTGAACTTCAACTTCTTTTGTCGAATTCTGACCGTGTCCAGTGCCACACTGCATATCCCTTGGATCCGCTCCTGATATAAACTCCAGCATAATTAACTCTGAAGGTCTTCTTTCAACATGGCGGCCATACCGAAAGTTGGCTGATAATTTGGCACACGATGTACCCCTGAGTGAGACTTCTGCTTATTATCTATTCTGTGCTTTGAACGTTGATCATACTATGTTAAGATTAGGCACTAGCGTTAATTATATGTTATCTTTTGTCATTCATTTTATTTCCCTTTTTCGATTATCTTGTTTTTTCACTGAGTCTAACTACCCTTAAATTGCTCTTTAATTCAAAAATAAAAGGAAATCTTATGTATCTAAAAAAATCTTAATTATCAAAAAGTGCAATACTTCTTTCTTACTAATTTATATCAGAGGGTTTATTAACTTCTAATCGATGATTTCTAGTACATCGATCCAATTTCCTTTAATGCGATGTTCCTACTATCTTCATTTATTTCTTCTACTGTGTTCACAGGCAGGATATTTTATTTAAAAAAGACGCCCCTGATTTTGCACCTACCACAATATAAGGAACAGTGAGTAAAAAACGAAAACTATAGTGTGTAGCAACTTTCAAATATAACCACCCATTTTAGAGTTTAAAACGTGGACTTTGAAATTCGCAGTAAAAACGTAAAACGGAAACAAAACAATGATAATGCACTTGGTTTTAGGCTGGAGCGGTTCTTTGAAAAAACTGAAACCGACCAAAAACCGGAAAATGCTATCTTCCTTTTCTTTTCAGGTTCTAATGGGAATATGAACATGATAAGCCCACCAGTTACGCCTGTTTCGGGTACCTTTCCTGTTCTACGAACAGCTACTAGTACGTTATTATGACTGATTACATCCTTGTTTCGTGTTCATATAATTCTTTATTATTGTTCATCGCGATCTAATGACCATACTTATTACCAATCTTTGTCGTGAAGTGTTTTTGATGTCAGTTCACGTTGTCTTTAAAGGTGGAAATCACTTGCCTTCACAAGAATTCTCCTTTCCTCAACGTACTGGCGTCGTGGACATATCAATGGATGGCACCTTCATTGGTATAATATCAGTATGATTTACAGCAGTATTGATTGACGTTTTTGGATTAAATTGCGATTTCATTGAGCAAATCATCATATTCATCTACCCTTCAACGTTTGGTCTTTTCATTCGTGATTACGAACAATGAAAAGACAGAAGTGTAGTTCGTATAAACACATATGATTTTCTACAGCATAGCGGCAAGGGAAAACATTTGACAAACTCCGGACTTAGATGTGATAAAAATGCAATTATGGCCTATTTTTCCTTAAAAAACCATTCCCCTCTTGCCTGTCGTTTCTTTTGAAGATGTATAACAGTTGTGAACCTGTTTTTTTTAGAAAACGGTGGTCTTTTTGGTTTGGGAAGTAATTCTAAGTTACGACGTGGTATAATAAGAGAACACCCATATTCAAGGTGATGTAATGGTATGTAGTATTACCCTCGCCCAGATCTGCTCGATGCTCTGGTTTTTAAGGAAGTTAAGCAAAATCTTTTAAAAGGATTGCCTTTTAAAAAAAGTAAGACTTTCAATCACAAAAATGTTAAAAGAAAGTTTAAATAGCGATCTTTATCAAACATTTTAAAATTGCAAACCTAGAATATCAAGTTGGCAATTGTATATCCACAGAGAAAAGACAGATTCTTATCTTACATAACGTCGGTTGCCATCTGTCAAGACGGTGGCTTGCCTCATTCGTAATGTAACCACAAAATTACCGTGTAATACGATATGAAGTATATTGGGTTCTAGGTTGGTTCTAGGTCATTGGTCTCACAAGATATTGAACTGTTTTGATTGGCCATTCAGAAAAAGAGATGTCAAAGAACCATTATTGCCTTTTACAATCTTGAAATGCAGCCTAGCGATTGAAAGACTTTACCCATCTTCACATATTCTTGTATCCGTTTGACCTTTCATACTCAGCTAATACAATGATCGATTTTATAGATTCCTATTGGAAAACGATCATGTCCAGAGGTAGCCAGGTGTCACTTGAATCATTGTTGCCATACAGTAAAGACTCTCAAGACGATCAACGGCTTAAACATTTGCCTCATTTATAAACAAGTCATGGTTGTGACACTTTTTGAATTCAAGATATATTAATAGTACAACGACTTTGTAACATCGATCACGACGCTACGATCTCATTGACAGTATATTATATGATTCTTAATTTGTAGGTTTGTTTCGAAGATTGCTTCTCTTTATAAAAACTGTAAAAAAGTGCCAAGCTTTTCAAAAAGTAATGATGCTACACTAAAAACTACGGTGGCTCACAAGGGACACCTCATAAAATAATAATTATACAAAATAAAGATATTAATACATACACAAAAATACATTACACACGTACAAAATAAAAATACACACAAAAATACATTATACACGCACAAAAAATAAAAATACACACACCAAATAAAAATGCACACACAAAATAACAATACACACATAAAATAAAAATACACAAAATATGATCGCGGGCGCTTGCAGTATCGGCTTGCTCGTAATTGTCGTGTATGTTTTCAAAGTTGCAATGGTTCCAACATCCAGAGTACAAAACGAAATTCACTCATTTCACTGTGATCAATTATTTCAAAGTTGCTTACGATATTGTTCTCCGTATTCTGGTTAAAATTAAGGCTAATGAGTTGTCCTGGTTGCGGCAACGATTCCTGCTCAGCCTCGGAATCAAACACGTACTGCGATGATTATTTATCAGAGCAAAAGAATAACTGTTATCAGCGTGTTTATCATTACACGCTTGATAACAGGTTATTTCAATCGTAGTTATCCGTATGGGGCAATCGTCAGATTTTTGAAGTGAAAACCTCCGGTATTCTGATGTCTATACGAACACCGCATTTGTGACAAAAAGAAGCTTCGTCAAGTAATTGTGCAACACGGTTGGCACAAAAAATAATCATACCAGGAGCGTGCGGCGCAATTAACGCTAGTTATTACTCTTATTTATTTTTCGCTTTAGTATCCCAAGAGCTTGTTTTCGATTCCTTTCCAAATGTCATTTAAAACATTTCGCAGTTAAAAATACGATGTTAAATACGACGACAAGTCGACCACATGTTAAGATCACAATTACACATATCTCATTACAACCTCATAATAAACTGATAGTAGTCAGATGACGAGCCAGTCAGCTCCATATTCGTAGTAGTCAGGCAGATAAGTGAAGAAAATTTAGCAAAAAATTACCATACCTAGGGGCAATTTCATTTTATGCTAGAATTGTAGTTAAACACCTTTAAAAACCATCTGAATAAGTCGGCGAGCAAAAATGTTCTTGAGAAGGCCGACTAATAACTTTTACTGACAGCGTTTGGTTTGTTTTGAGAAGCGCCAGGATTTTTGAATAGTTTTGATGGAGAAGTGAGACTTGGCTATTTTGAACAGCGGCACTTCGACATACTTCAGATAAACTACCTAAAAATTATTTGCTCGCCTGGCATGTACTCTGACAAATCATGTCTAGAAAACAAAAAAATATACCGTTTGAAGTTGATGTGAGCATTTCACCATCGAAAGCAAAAAAAAAACTCTACATCAAATAAAACATTTATCGGCTGCATTCTTCAGTGCTGTGAAAAGAGTCCACGTGAATCGATTATTAGGTTCAGTGACACGTCCAAAAAATCCAGCTACAAAGCTGCAAAGCAACGTGAGGATAAGAAAGTTATTGCAATAATCGATTCTTTTGGGGAAGATCTTCCCTCGCCAGATACGGGTATCATCGAAAATGTTATAAAAATATATACTCACGGCAAGTTAAAAGTCAAAAAGCCTATACGTGAGCGACAGCAAAAGTCAACAGGAAAAACAGATCGAAGAGGTATAATTCGCGAATGTCTCTTTATCAGTAAGACGCTAATTATAATTAAAACTTACAGTTGATTAAGTAACTTATGTAAATATATGTAGGCAGGGGCGGATCTAGAGTATGTCAAATCCGTCGCGCGACTGATGTTTGAAATTCAAAAATTACCTATTCATATTAATTAAAAATTCATTAATTACACTGGTCAACAAAAAGAAACTTTTTAAAAGGTGTCTGATATTTTTTGACAGATTTACTATATTTTTGCTATGCTAAATCTAGAAATAACATTCATTTTGCTCTCGGAGGTCAAATTTTTTTGCAAATTTGAATTTAAAATTATGCGACTTTAGTTATATTTTTTTAAAACAATGTTTTCAAGATGTACATGTTTTCAAGATGTTTCAAAACAAAATGTCAGTTTTTATGATAAAATTGCAGTATTCCAAGAAAGAATCATGTACACTTCATGTACAGTACATGTAACTAAAAATGAAAACTTAATGTTTGCATTATTATGGTCTAAATTTTCGTTTTTTTTGATTGTCGCGAATGTTTTGGTGCTTGCACATCTCTTTTTAAATTCCAACAGTAGTCTGCCATCATCACCATGTCCCACCTTTCTCTTAAGTCATGGTGAAAGCGTTCTCCTTGCTCATCGCTTAAAGAGCCAAGATTTTCGGGATCAATACCAGCTTTTAATTTTTCAGTTGACAAATTGGGAAGGTTTTACAACGAAACTGAAAACACCGTCCATCTTTATCCAAAGTTTTAGTGAATTGCCTTATCAAACCGAACTTTATGTGCAGTGGAGGAAATAAAATACGTCCCTGTCAACTAGAGGCTTGTTTATCACATTTTTGCTCTACAACTTGCAAGCTCTTCACGTACTGGCCATTCTTTTTCACGTAATGATGAGTACGATCCCTACTATCCCAGAGGCATAAAAGTATGGGTATTTGGCAAATCCAGACTGTTGACCAAGCAAGAAGTTGACCATTTTAAAGTCAACGCAAATCAGCCATTTATGTTGGTCATAAGAAATTTTTCTAGGACGTACTTAATTGCTTCATGCTGTTCTTTTAATGTTGTCGAATGTGCCAATGGCACAGATGCAAATTGATTTCCATTGTGTAACAACACACATTTCAAGGACCTTTTGCTGTCGATAAAAGTCGCCAGTCCTCTGATTTGTATTCAGGTACGCCGAGATGTTTCAGTAGCTCTACTATGTCATTGCGATAGACTAATTCTTTTCTTGAGCAAAATATCTTAAAATTCCTGGTGCCTGGTACGGAAGAAACTTACCTTAACTTTACCATTTAGCATGTTCTTGTCCTTTAAACGAGATGCAAGAAGTTCGGCAGAGTCTTTTGGCAAATTTAAATCGCGAACAAGATCGTTTAGTTCGTTTTGGGAAACAATTTTGCCATCGGGAAAACAATTTAGTCATGTGGAAAGGATGCATCAACGGTAGTGGCAATGCTTTGAGTTTCATCCTGGCTACTACTGCTTTCTTCAATACTTGTATCTTCAAATACAAGTACGGGAATTTCTTCACTATAAGGAGTAGGGCGCATAGCTGACGGTAGATTGGGATACTCCAGTGTTGTGCGATTTTTTCTGTTAATTCCCATGACATTGATAGCACAAAGTAGCAATCGGTTGCATGATTTAAGGCTCTCGCCAAATCATGGGGATGCCAAAGTTCATGGACTTTTGCGTGCCATCTTTGCAAACCATGTGAGGTGCCCAACTTTTGTCTTGATCGCCGAGCTTCATGCCAAAATATGCATAGTAAACGCGCTTGATAAAGGTGGTGACAGTATTGCGATTTGGTGCAAGTGTGTATTTACCACAAACATAGCAAAAAACATCTGGCTTATTTTTCTTATTTCTACTTTTTATTATTTTTTACGTACATTAATATGTTGGTGTGTTTTAACAAGTTTTACCATTGAATTTCAGTATGGGCTAAATAAAGCCTTATTTTATCTTTAAATATCCCATAATAATCGCAAAACCTAAACTCCCTAATTGAAATTCAATCAAAAATTGCTTATTCAAATGCTTTCTTCTTTGTATTGCTAGTGCTAAAAAATTTAAATTTGTTCAGATAATAGAACTTTAAAAGGTAAATGGTTAGTGCTTCTGTTGTACCTTTCTCGGGTATTTAAAAGTTAAAAAATAGAAAATTAACGATAGTTTAAAATCTCGACCTGACCCAGCAAAAATAGTGTTATTTTTGGACTCAGCACATCAAAATTATCCAAAATCAGTTTACAAAACTGAGACACCAAATTTGCTGTTGACCAGTGTTATTCTTACTTTATTATCGCATTTACTTCGTGATAAAAATCCAGCTTTATTGATTATTGAAAACTAATGATTAATGCAATGAATATCTCGTTGGTAACCAGATCAGTTGAATTTTAATTGACCTGGAATAACCGACTGATAAGCGGGGTGGCTTGACTGGTTCGACGGATAAAGGAGTCTATGAACGCCAAAAACGCTTATTTTATTGGTCAATGGCCAGATCAGTGGACAGTCTGGAATGGTCTCGACTGATAATAGGGGTGGCCGGACGTATAAGGGAGTCCAATTGCTATCTTACAATTGGTTCATTTGAATTTTTGTTTTATTGTGATTGGTTTGACGGATTTCGACTGATAGCCAACTGAACTAACATAGTCAAACATATTTTAGCAAAAGACAAACGCTGAAAATGGCATTTTCAAGGCTCTGAAATGTATTTCTCAGGGGAGAATGCCTCAGACCCCCCCAGGTGCGGAGCGCCTGCGAGGTTTTATGACTGATGTTTGAAAAATCCTAGATCCACCCCTGTTTAAAACATGCTGCAAACTTGTTTGGTATACGGATGCTGAAGTAATGCCAGAAAAGGAAACATTTCATGACACCGGTGAGCAACGTAAGATTGTTTACCATTTAAAGTGTTCAGTGTTTTGTCAAGTCAATACTTGAAGTGTGATGGTATATATATTGTGAATGTTTTTACTACTAAGTTATAATTTAAGTTTTGTATATCCAGTCAGTCTTATTTGTTCTTTACTTAATCGCTTGCTAGACGAGGCAAAGCAACCAATTCTTATCGAGATATGCATGTCATAAAACTCCTTGTTTCAACTGACTTTACCTCCAAGAAATGGAGGATTTATTCATGATATTTTTCTGAAAATATGAAGCAAATATTAAGAACAGAGCTGTATTGAAATCAAATGCAGTGCAGGATTAATTAATGAGCTCTTTGGTACATGTCTTACAATAAAAAATACCTGTCTTAAACAGCTAGCCTGAACAATTTGACAGATTATGGACAATCATGATGA